CCTCAATTCACTGTAGATGCCAAACAGCTCATTGGTGAGGTTTGTGCTTGATTTGAAATGGAATGCTATAATTTATGTTTTGGATTTTGTTATTCTTGTTGGTTCGAACATTTTTATTGTCATTGTAATAAGAAGTTGTTTACTGAAAGCACAGGCTCTTGTAGCTCTGAGCTGCAATAAGATCAATCAAACTCTCTTTGCTCTAAAGACTTTTTTTTTTTTTTTTTNTATTCCTTATCAATCACTTGTAACATCAGAATTTATTACAACCTGATTGAGGTTCTATCAAGATAGAGTTATGTTTTATAATCACCTTTGCTTTTCCTTTTTGAGTGCACCCATTTTAGACCGGGGGATGGACCTTTCTCAACTAAAAATTGCCATAGTCACAGCAACTATCAGCTTTCATCCCACCTCAGCATCAACATATCAGCACAACAGAATCCTTTACTTTCATCAGACACAGCATCATCAGCATCCATCAGATCACCTCCAATGTAGCTCAAATCCTGCTAACTGCTAAAACAGCTAGGAAGTGTGGTGATAAGAAAAAGTGTGGTGTTCAGTTTCTTCAATGATCTATCTATCAACTGTTTGTTGTTGTCTGAGGGTATTGTAACATCCAAGTATGAATATTTATAAGTACCTTAGCATTTCTTGTATGTTTATGCTAAAATATTGAGCTATATCATCGTCACCCTACATCTGTAAGAAAGATATTGCTGAAAGATATTGAGCTTCATGTTTGTTCAGGCTTTGATCATTCACTTCAATGAACTGCTATAACTACTATATGATCATATGTAAATAATATGTTTTATATAGCCTGTACAAGTTACTATTTTATCTTCTTTTTTTATCTCTCATTCATGAAAAATTATTCAGTATCATTTAAAGAATGCACATGTGTTGAATCAGTCGGAGTACCTTACATTATCAGAAAGGGTCAAACAAAGAAACTTCATAAATCTGTGAAACAATAAAATTAACAATAAGGTAACATATCATAACACTTTGTACACTATTTAAATCTTGAGAAGACATCAAATGACCATATATTGATATACACGGCAGACTGAAACATTGTACCTGCAACACAAAAATACTTCCAATAATGTGAATAAAAATATAAAGTGAATTAAAAAAATCTACAATTTTATTTATACGATACCGTAGACATATGTGATGGTTGGGAAGGTTTTTTTTTTTCCTCTTTTTTGTTATTTCTTGTCAAGATTTTAGTCGACCTCAACCCTTGTAATCACCTTCTTTTCTTTTTAAACCTTTAACTTTGAGAAGATTTGGGTCAACATTTTCTATTCCACTTGGGTCAACATTTTTATAGATTGAATCATCGCCAGCATCACCAATTGATGCATACATACTATCCACTTGTTTAAACAATTACTCAACACCACATGACACCAATTGATATGTAGGTTGAAGACTAGAACATCGAGTAGCTAGTTATACCATTCTAGGACAAAACTGCCTATAACATGACGCCACAATTAACTTGGGATTCTCGTCATTTGACATTAAAATAGGGGTTGTCATACAACTCTTTCTTGCATCTTATCTCCATCTCCTACATATGTACTGCTCAGGAATTTGCTTAATATTCATTATGTCCAAGACTTTAAGTGTATGCCCAGATAATCTTTCCTCCATTTCAAACTTCCGACAACTATAATTGACTATCTCCTCATTAGCCTTAACCACTATCAAATATTCTCTATGTTCATCATATATTCGAACCACAAATTAATGTCACCCATCCAACACATCACATGGTGTCGCAATAGCGTACTGAAAGATATTATACTTCTCTTAGAACATGTCAAACATAGTAGGAGTATACACTTGTCTTGCTTGCACTAACATTGAAGCTCTTTTTAACTTCAATCTAGGTAATTTTGTCTAGCTTGGTATTCTGAGTCTGATTCCTTATACCGCTTATCATTCACAACTCTTTCAAAATGTACAAAAAATTGAACAATGTCATGGTCTGACTTTAAGTACTTCTGTAAGGCTGCATTCAAGCTCTCACTCAATTGGGTGTTTCTCATTCCTACGGTGAAAGTCCTCTTCATATACACATGTCCCCATTTTTCTCGCAATGCCTAAGTGACTTTCATCCACATATTATCATGCAAATTATACTCTACAAGCAACGATTCCTAAGCCTCAAATAATTCATGCTCCTTTCTCATATCCATATATACACTCTTTAAATTGAGCCGAAAATTGTGAACCATCCTTATATATGTTCTCCAAATCTTTCAAAGTATTTTTCGCAAAGGTGCCAAGTACATAACCCATGATATGTCTCTGACATGACTATAGAAATAGCCTTGGCCATCGTTTGATCTTGGTCGATGAAAATGGTAATAGGATATTTTTCAGACATAGCTTGTAGGAATGTTTCAAACAACCACTGAAATGATGCTACTATTTCATTATATAATAATGCAGCTTCAAATAAGACTGTCTCCCTGAAATGATTGAAACCAGTAAAACAAGTAAAGAGTCGATACTCCTTGTTCATTCTAAAAGTAGTGTCAAATAAGACAACATTTCCAAAGTTGTCATAGTTAATAATCATCATTGGGTCAATCCAAAAAATATTAGTAATATGCTCTTTCGCATCCAATTGTACTCCATAATAGAATGATAGATTTTTTACTGCTTCCATTTGAAAATATTTCAACAAATTACTCACCTCACCATACTTCAAGTCTCGTTGCCTATTTTTACGGAGGTAATTCTTTTGGTCTTAACGAGTAAAATCAAGATTTTCCTTTCCTCCAGACTGAGTACTTAAAAGATCATAGGAAGTCTTAATTGACAATCCATAATCTGCTGTCATATTAATATTAATGCCTTGTGTTGCGGTAACCTTCCGTTGGGATGACATCATATGCATACATTCAGCAAGGTAAAAGGATGGTTGTGGTTGTCATTCCACTTCACCACAAAAAAATTATCAATTTTTCTATTAAAAGATATACACATATAAGCTTGACAATTTGTTCTTGTCTCTGCTCGAGACTTCCTTATTTGACACTCTCTTTTATCACAACCTCTTTGACCTTATTTACAACAAACATATTTTCTGTAAATGACAACGCCATCTTTCAAACTTTTATTTTAAAAATCTTTCCTCACGCTAAATCCCACAGACTCTCCATAACTATTGTAAAACGCATAAGCATCTTCCTCGATATCAAATTACATACCATATGAGGTATATTTTCAGTCGTATTAATTCCCAAATCATTCATCATAATATCTTACAATAAGAAATTTAATTAAAATGACATTAGATGGAACTTGCAGTCATAGATGGAACTTGCAGTCATAGATGGAACTAGATGTCATGTACATAAGGTTACATAATTCTTAAAAAAATTAATCATTATTCCATTAACAAACCAACAAGCACAAAGATTAATACACATAATTTTTGTAAAAAAAATCATGTCCAAGAGAACAGTTTTTTCCAAACAGAATAAGTAGTGGCAGAGACTCTTTTTTCTTTTCATTTTTGTACCAAAAAATTTAAAGACTGCATATTTCTCCATTATTCATTGCAATAACTCAAAAGATATTTACAAAGGAGGAATTTCTTACAATCACATAGAACCTAAAAAAACTAGTGTTTTACCATAATAATAATGAAGAAATCCCAACTTGGAAAACCCTATAATTCAAACCCAAAACAATCATTTACTCTTTCCAAATTAAACACCCAGAAAGTTTCAGTTACTCTTTCCAAATTAAACATCCAAAAAATTTGGCTAAAGCTTCAGTTCATACTTATAAACTTCAAACAAGTCTAATCAAAACAAACTTGCAGTCATTTGAGTAGTTACACATATTAAAAATCGCATCTTTACATGTAAATTCAGAAAGAAAAATTACAACTATTTAAAGTTACACTTATGAAATGAAAATGATTATTTAGCAAAATTGACTGAGAAAGACCAACAGTCAAGGTTGAATGCAGCCAGACCTGATGAAGATTATATACTCATTAAAGTTTTGTGTCTCAGTAAAGGAAAAAACAGTCAAAAGAATCTATTCAAGTTTGAATGCAGCCTGACCTGAGGAAGAAGAAGATGGAGAAGTTTGTGCAGTGAAGAAGGCGGAAGAACAAACTCGACGAAGAAGAAGTGGGAGAAAGAAAAGGGTGTTGATTATAGCTCAACCAAAACGACGTCGTTCGGTAAGGGTCAGTTATAAAAAAAAAACCATCAAAAACAGCAGTGAAACGGCTGCGGTTCATTAAACCGCATTTCATGCGGTAAGTCCCCAACCGCAGACGAGCCATACCCGGCAACTCATCGTCGCAATCGCAGAACAACACTCCACTATTCCCCTCACACCGACATGCGCCCCCTCCCTCCCTCTCTCTCTCTCTCTCTCCCTCTCCCTCCCTCTAGTCCTCGTCGGAAAGAGCTGTGTGTGTGTTACATATCATAACTCGGTGTTCTTACTGATCAACAATGGAGCAACAACTTGTATCCACGTTAGAGCAAATCCTCAACCAAAACCCACTCAATAAACCTCTCTCTCTACACACCCTATGTCTCGCCCGCTCTCTCATCACCAACCCTTTTATTTCCCAACAAACAATCTCTTCCCTCCTCAAAACCCTAACCCTCACTCTCCAATCACTACCCACCCAAAACCCCCTCTCTCTTCACCACATTTTCTCTCTCCTCTCCGATCTCTCCATCCACCAACCACAACTATGTCCCCAAATATTTGCCACCATCCATTCTTTTTCTCTCCTCCCCACCACCTCAACTCGCTCACTCGCGGACTCTCTCTGTCTCCTCATCTCTCTCTCCGAACGCAATCAAGCCTTTGTTCCGTCTCTCGCAGACACCACTGAGAGTCTCTTTCTATCGCTCTGTTTTCGTCCTTGTGTATCAGTCCAGCATTGGCTATTAAAAACTGTGAATGAATTTCATGTCAGACCGAGTGTCTTGATTATGGTTTTGTTAGGGTTTACAAAGGACCCCTATCCGTATATACGAAAAGCTGCTTTGGATGGACTGGCTGGTTTACCTAAGTCTGTGATTGTTGACGATCAAAGCCTGATTGAAGGTTGCTATGTTCGTGCGGTTGAACTTTTATATGATATGGAGGACTGTGTGAGGTGTTCGGCGGTTCGGACGGTATGATACTGGGTCGATGATTGTTGAGTTGTCAAGTCATTGTCTTTGTTGCGTAGAAATTAACGTTTGTTGGCATTTTTTGTTAAATTGTTTGGAGATAGACGGTTGTTGGCATCTTTAAATTCAAACTTGCAATCTAGTGGTTGTTGTACAAGCACTATATTGCACGCCTATGTATACTAGTAGAAGCTTCCTGGCTCCCCTAGTTCTGAAACACAACAATAGACTTGCAAAGTTGCAATTAGTATACTACTTAAGACATGCTGGCCTCCTCAATTCACTGTAGATGCCAAACAGCTCATTGGTGAGGTTTGTGCTTGATTTGAAATGGAATGCTATAATTTATGTTTTGGATTTTGTTATTCTTGTTGGTTCGAACATTTTTATTGTCATTGTAATAAGAAGTTGTTTACTGAAAGCACAGGCTCTTGTAGCTCTGAGCTGCAATAAGATCAATCAAACTCTCTTTGCTCTAAAGACTTTTTTTTTTTTTTTTTTTGGGTATTTTGTTAATGTTTTGTGTATAAAATAAGTGGCATCCGCCCCTTTTTAGTGAACAAAGAGGGTGGAAGTGTAGGATGGTGGATTGCGTTATTTGCATTGACATGTGCCAGAACAAATAATCGGCTTTATTCATTTTTGTAATCTCAGGTTATTGAATGGGGGCAAGTGCTTGTGGCATCCAATGAAGACCAACGGAAAAAAGATTGGTCAGATTTGTTATTTGTACAGGTATTGGTGCAAGATTACCAATTTTTTTGGGAAATATAGCAAGTAATGCTTGAAGTACATGTGGAAGTTGGTTGTGTTATATCAAATTTTTGTAATACTCAACTCACTCAAACAAAGTTGTATCCCAACTATTTGAGGATGGCATTTTTTCTGGGTTTCATCTTTTAATGCATCGTATACATGTTCTAAACTTAGGTTGCGACCTGGTGGCTGGAAAAAATTGTCCATAGTGCTGATGTTGTTGACCTAGATAACAATAAACTTCCTGTTGGATGCCTGGATCCTTCCATAGATAGGATTTTAAATATTTTTCGAATCTGACTTCTGNGCGACCTGGTGGCTGGAAAAAATTGTCCATAGTGCTGATGTTGTTGACCTAGACAACAATAAACTTCCTGTTAGATGCCTGGATCCTTCCATAGATAGGATTTTAAATATTTTTCGAATCTGACTTCTGCTACGTAACATGTGGTCTCTCTCTCTCTCTCTCTCTC